TGATTGGACTCATCCTGAATCCTCACTCATAGCAGCCCCTAAATGGTTTTCTAGGGTTAACCACAATTAACCCACGATCGTTGGGCCGCTCTTAAAACAAAATAAAAACAATTACGAAAGTTCCTTTTGCGGATGTCTAAGGATTCTAAAGTACATACATATGTACACCATTTGCCCTAATTCCCATCAGCTTAAAGAAAATCCAAGCTTTCGATCATATTTCAATTAGCAACGAGCCATCCATCACTTGTCAATCCATGTCGCAGTCCCATCAATAAGTTACCAAGTGCCCAGCTAATTAATTCATCTGACTCACGGTTCTATTTCGGTTTCCCAGCATTGCCCCACTGTGCAGCCCACTCTCTCTGGCTCGCTCTTTCGCACTCAACTCCCACTAGTACACATGTGGGGACCTGAGAACTCCTTGGAAACGATAAGTAAGTCGTTCGTTCCGGCAACCTATCGCCCCTGTCCCCTAATTTTGCACTTGGAGAAAGTGTGTGTGATGTATAAATATATTTGAGTCCTATTACGATCTACATATATATTAAATACTTCATTTGGTACTATAGAATAATATGTTCAAGTTTCTTGTGAAAATGTATTGTAAGCCATGAGTTTTGTGCACGGAGCTGGCCCTGCTTTCTCCACGTGTAGTGGCCCCATGACATTGTGGGAGCAACAGTTTGCTCTGACCCCTTTTTAGCAACAGGTGGTTGCGGTTTCGCGGGCACTTCGCTGGTCGCATTGGCAATTCGCATTCCGTGGGCCAAACTGCAATGCGCCCGCTGGAGATAAATAGGCAAATAAATCGAGAACGATTCCCTGCAATTATGGCTTAGTACGAGCTAAATATGTGTATAGGGATGTGGATGTGGATGAAACATACACGTGTCCGCAGGTAGTACGTGCTTATGGATATTGAATACATTATCGTTTCATTCAACACGATGGCGCTGATGGGACATCGCCAGCATAGGAAGGCAATTTGCTGTGGGCCAATGACTGGCTAACTTTGGCCAGGTTCTTGATTTTCAACAAATACAACAAAATACTCGTTTCAATGGGCCGGGCCGGGCCGGTCCGGTCCGGTGCCCATTTAAAGTCAGTATCTCTGCCGTTTGCGTGTTGTAGGTTATTTGTTTTAATTTCCCGTGATGTTTTTTATTGCCCTAGAAGACAACAAAGGGGCGCGTGGAGCGTGCTGATACTTTTGTTTGTGTTCCTGTCTTGGGAAATACGAAAATATTATTCCGCCTGATTGGGTGAAAGTGTTCACCAATTATTCGATTCCTGGCCATGCAGATAGCAGATAGAACTTGTACGTCATTCACGAGTTGCACGGCAGTTGGCATTGAAAATTAACGCTGACAACGACAACAAACCACTTGTTGAACTCAAATTATCTAGCGTTTTCCAATTATCCAACATTTGATAAGAAACCCGTAGCCGTGGCTATCAAAAAATAAATCATTTGCGAAGTGAGCGTACATAGATTAAATTAAATGAAATCAATTTCATAGACACCTCCAAATTTGTCATCATATACATCTCATTGCGAAATTATTACATCTGTATTTTATTTGGTATTGTGGCGAACAGATTGGAAGTTTCGGTAGCTCAATGGACAAAAACTATCAGTTGATAAACCAATTGGCACTACACTGAAATTAAATACCTTGTGTGCAATCGCCTAGTTGCTCTCACTACACACAATTTCTTGGGCAAATATTTGCAATTAGATTAGACTACTTCAACTAGCGAAGCCCCCAAAACGGCGTGGCTATACACTGATTGCCGTCATAATACTGTGCTCCATAAAAAAGTCATCTCAATCTGAACTTCTCAGACTCTAAATATTTACAGCGCTAGTTCGTAGGGAAAAACTTTGGCCTCAACCATGCGTCACTGCCAACCAAAAGTCAAACAAATTTGGTACTGGGGAACCGTGACTGCTAATATTCTTTTGACGACACCACGATTGATTCACAGAAACCATCAAAATGCTCGGCTCATTAATGGAGCTACAATTACTGGCATTTTTTTTGAGTATATTAGAAAATGCCGGAAAGGAACGTCTCTGAATTTAGACTTCAGACTGCGTGTCCGGATATAAAGGCGTTTAATTGCTATTTCAAAACATGTTTTAATAACGTTTTCAATAGGGTGCGTTCGATTAAAAGAAAATCAATCAATGGTATGGGTAATCATTGACATTCACTGCGGTATACAAAGTTTTATCAAATTTAATAAACAAATTCGTCGATTTCTAAAAGGGTTTCGGTGCTCTGAGTGTATGTTGAATTACTGATAAATATGAAAAAATTAACATGTAGATGGCGCTAGTATCGTACAAGTTGCACTCATTCATTTGAAATTTTTTGCAGTGCGAAATCTTCACTTCTGCTCAAATTGCTAAGACTCCGAATTCAAATTGCCTGTTGAAAAGTGTGCTATTTATGCGACAATGGCTGTCTGGCGGTGCTGTCTTAAACGTTTGGAATCAACATATTTGCGGTTAGTTTATTGGCAGAGTTCAGGCAGGCCAGTCGGCATTAACCGGTTCCCTGCATCCGAGATGAGACCGAGAATAATACCGCGACCGATGCTGAGGGCCCATGCGTAATTATATGTATATATGGGATGGGGAGGGGCTGGGTCAGCAGCTAATTTCGCCACATTGTCACACACTTGCAACTTGGCGTGGTTCCATTCCGCGTTGGAATGACCAAACTAACCAATTAACAGCGATTGCAAAGAGGCGAGGGCATCAACGTAAATCGAATTAGGAATTAAACATGTTTTTATTATATAGATATTTGTGAGCTTTGCAGAACATTATTGCAGGTATCGCAACAAATACCAAAATACACATCGATTTTAATTTTATATCAAGTTTTAAGAACCTTTTTTTAATTATATTACCTATACTTTTCAGCGAATCTAGTAGGCCCTTTTACTCTACGAACATCGGGTGTCTGCATAATTTGATTAAACTGTTAAAAAATATAAGACCTTAAACATTTTAAATCTATTTGCATCTCTACAATCCAATTTAATATTAATAAACAATTGAACCGAATTTGAAACCTAAGGATGTCTGGCAGCACCTAACAACACCTAAGTTCCAAACCTTTTGAAACTCGGTCTACGAAATGTGTGCATTGTGGCAGCCAGGACACGCACCAATAAGACTGTGTGGCAGCCTTCATCATAGCGCATTAATTTGAATAAAAAATCTTACCTTTAAAAGAATTTGTTTTTCAAAAGAGGTCCATCGGGGATTACAGCTGTTAATATTGTTGTAATGTGTGAAAGTGTTAGCTTAAAAATATCACAATGGTTAGCTTGAATTTCAATGAAAACACCTTGTTCCTGTTGGAGAATGAAATTGTTTCAAATTGAAATTGGCCCGATTTGCACTAGCTAAAATGTAAACATTTTATTGTTTCCAGTTTCGGTCTTACATATTTTTTGTTTAATCTAGATTTTTACGGTTCTCATGAATTTTCTGTTAACTTTTTGCTGTTTTAATTTTAGTTTAAAAATGTGTTAAATCTAACTTGTATTCTAGCTTGCACTTGTTTTTTTTTTTTTTGGGAATTCAAAGATACAGTCGAACTTCGATAACACAAACCGCCATCTGCCACAAAAAACAAAAAAAACCCCGATTTATGGAGACCCGAGATAGGGGCATTGATTGGATAGATTTCCGTCGCCAACAAAATGAGTTCGACTACCTAGAGAAGGCTGAGTTATGGAAGTTTGACTGTAGTGATATATATTTCTTTCGTATTCATGAATATCTGCGATCCTTCTCTCTGAAAACTATACTCTCGTGAAATATCCTCATTTAACGCTCTTTATATTCGGCATTCGTTGCTGTTGACACTCTTTTCTTGTTTTCATTTTTCATTTAAAAATAGTTAACTTTATACTTGTGTTTAACATTATCATACAATTTTAGCTTATGTTTCTTCCAAATTATGTTGGCTTCTTTTAAGATAAGTTATGCTCGCTCGCCAAGTCCAGTACTCAGATAGAAAACACTTTTTTTTGCTAGCGAAGGGGATTCTCCTTTGTGCAGGAAAGTTCGAGTTTCCACTTAGAAAGTAATCCGCAGTGTATCACTGATGGGAAAGTAGTGGCAAAAGCGCTACAAATATCTGCGATATTCGCCAATATGTGTGGGCGAATTGCAATGCTTAAAATTTGTTGAGGCTGCTTGGACTCCAAATTGACTACACTAGCATTGCGTTAGATTGCTTTACGTTCTACAAACCCTTTTGATTGATTTCATGATTTGGCCAATTAGCATTAACTATACAAGTTAAAATTACTTTGGCGCCTAGTTATGAAGCACCCGTATATATTGAAGCACCGTTTAACCGCCGAACGTTCAGCAGGAAAGACTTGATGAATTGGTTGTATTGGGTGTGATATAGTGATATAGCTATCGGCATCTATGTATTTCTTTTCCTTTAGTGGCTAGCAATTATTTTCCTCTGTGTACTGTGCACGGGCGAACCATTAGCATATCCATATCTTATGATAATGCAATCAGTGTCTTGTGTTTTCTGGTTTTCTTCTGGTTATTTGCAGAGTGCAATTTGATAAATGTAGCAAGTATTGTTTTTCAATAGTATTCTTGTATTTGTTTTGCTTGCTTTTGTTTTTCATTCACAACTATGATTTGTTGTTCAGCTGCGTTTCAATTTAGACTTGGCTTGTATTGTAGTATTTATGAATTTATTGTGCGATCATTTCAGATAAATGACATTCTTTTATTGAAGTGCACTTCCTTACCGGCAGCAATTCATTCACTATTCACTATCCACTATCCACTATCCACTACTCACTTTTGTTTGCGTTCAATTTGCATTTGATTTGCTTGTGATTGATTTGCGTATTGCTAGTCCCTTATACTTTTTATATCATAGCAACACATCTGTATACAGTTCTTTTTCTATAAAAATGTAATAGCATGGGTTCAAAAGTAAGATAAGAAGATACAAACAATATGCATACAAAGTGAAAATAAATTTAAAAATCTCTCCAATGCTACATACAGACTATTTTATAGTAGATGCTAATTCAGTTGAACAACAGTGTGATACATAATACACATATGCATATGCATATGCATGTATTAATGCTCCTTGAATGTCATTCTCTGTTCAAATCGGTTAAATAATGAGGGAGGTGGACTGCAATTCTACGAGCGATAGGCGATTTAAGATTTAGATATAGAAACCTCTGCTTTGTATCTAAGGGGCAAGTTCAATGTACACGGCAACGTACATTTATGCCCGGAAAGTTATTGTATTATACCGACTTTATTTTGGTTTTCGTTTGGTTTGGTGTTTTCAATACAAAATGCATTCACATACGTACATACGTTACTATCTCAATTCATTGTAATATTTTTATAACCATCAGACACATCTTTAAAAGTATAAAAATGTTGAATAGCAAAACTCTTTGACTGTCAAAGTATTTCAGTTTGAAAAGCTTAGGTTCGGGCTGTTGAATTCATGTTCTATGTTCCTAATATTTTGATTGGCTTCATATACTTCACAATACAACCGCAAAACTCCTGTGGCCGCCCTGTCGCTTTCTGCTCCATTTTTCCAGCTTTTCCCCACTTTTCCCGCATTTTCCGCCTTTCCCGCATTTCCCGCCTTTCCCAGCGACGCATTTCCGCTTACGGGAACTGCAATGAAAATACCCATGCTTAGTGTCTGCAAATAGGAAACTCATTCACGGTCACTCGACTTACAATGAAATGTGGCGCTGAAAACAGTACAGCGAGGGTTGCGATAATAGTAAACAAGGTGAAAATAATAAGGCACAAACGATCGACGACCATGGCTGCAAACTTCCAATCTCGAGTGATGTCGCTTGTCTCGTCCTCTTTTTTGAGCTGGAGAAAGATAGAAAAGAAGCTCGGTGAACAGAATTTGAATTAGTTTCGATTTTGAGCATTTCTAAGCGCACAGTTTAATAAAAAAAAAAAAAAAAAAAAAAAAGACTGTGATGACGTGGGACCTGCAAGTGGTTTCATTACCCCGCTGCATTCTATGGTTTTTGAGCTTCCAATCATCAGACGATTGGCCCTCCTTCAACTACGGACCCACCTGCTCGGTTATCCAACGCAGTTCCTTGAGTATCAGCGCCAGTTCGTACTCCGCAGAGGAGGTCAGACAGGTGTGGGAAATGGCCTCGTGCAAACGCCCATCCACAACTGGACCAGCTGGTCCCACGGGTCCCACGCTGCCGTCATCCCCTTGCCTGTGGATGAGTTATGGTAGTGCTTTAGATTGGGTAATCAAGTGCAGGAACTGCTTTCTGCTTTCAACTGCCTCCTCCCCGCCGCCTGAAAACGGGGTAATCCAAATGTAATTGTCTTCTTACTTACAAAAGCGCAGCATTTGCAGCTGAAAAGCTACCCTTCTGCTTAAAAGCTACACCAGACTTGGGAGTTATGTAAGTTCGCATTCCACTTACTAGATATAATAAATACGGTTACGATTTCACAGAACTACGTGATTTCTAAACAAAGTTTATCCTTTATCCAAGTGCTTCAACTTGCAATAATTGTTGTATATAAAAGTACACTTTTCTTATTTTACACAGACCAACGCATTTGAATGTTCATGCGATAAAACTTTTATGGACTTACAATTTTTAGGTAATTAAATATCTAAATTAATATCTTAAATTAGATATAGTTGGGTTTTTAGATAGACTTGAGATAGACGCCGAATCAGCTGCATGTGCTCTACACGATGAAGCAGCTCGCTTTCATTCATTATTTCATTACATCAAAAGTACAGCAAGCACGCGGTTTCATCGCTGATTCATCGTCTACGCAGAGCTGCAGTGGAGTCACTCACCTGTACATCGTCCTGTAATACGTGGGCTGGTGGGGCAAAGTCGCGCTGGCACACCGATGATTGCATCGGAAATCGTCGTCTATATCGAGCACGTTGGCCAGCAGAGACTTGGAGGATCTGTTTCGGGTTGGCACAGAGTGAGTTTAGCATTTAAGCACCTACATACGAGTATGGGTTGGGTTGGGGGCAGGGGGAGTGGGCTGCGAGGCGCCACATGGCGACCGTACCTCTCCTTGAGCTCAACGTTTTGGATCTGTTGCTTCTTCTCGCCGGAATTGGAGGAACTGGAAGAAGAGGGCGGCGGCGGACATTCGTAGCCAACCTGTCCGGGTCTTTGCATGCGCAATATGCAAGGTAACCAATAAAGGAATATTACTCTTATCTGTGTGTGCGAGTTCGACAGAGAGACGGAGTGTAGTTGGGTAATGCGTTTAAAAATAATAGCAATACGAATTTTTAGTATTTTTTTTAACATGAATGCCATTTAGGTTTTATGTTAGTAGTTTTTTTTTTTTTTTTTTTTTTTTTTTAAATTCATGATTAGTGTTTTAAATTGTTTATCGTTGTTTTCTCAGGTGCGTTTTGTTGTTTGGTTGTAAGATTTTAAAATTTTTAACGTTTTGTTGAATTAGCATGAAAACGAGGATGAACAGAAAGATGGTTATTTAAGTTTCGGGATTATTTAACAGTTTGTCGTACAGATATTTATCGATTTTTTTTAATACGTTGTTCGTTGTTGGTAATTATGAGATTTTTTTTTTTTTTTGGACAGCGATGATGAGTGTGTACGATTGTTTTTGGTTTTTCGTTTTTTGTTGTATAGTTTATTGACACGTGCAATTGTCGTCGTTGTGGTCGCCATGTTGATATAATTAAATTTTTGTTTTTTTGTATATATATTTTTTTAATAGTTAAAGTAACAGAGAGAGATAGAGAGATACACATGTAGAAAGAGGAAGATATATATATATATATATAGAGAGAGAAACAATTGAAGAGGCAATTGAGTTGAGTCATTTGCGTTGAAAGTAGTTGAGTTGCCGGTTTGCGTAGTTGTAGTTGTTGGCCAGAGTTTTTGTTGAAAAATAAACATTTTTGTGTGATTATTGATGCTGTTGTTGGTAGACGATTTCATAAGTATGTAAGTTAGTATGTGGAAAAACGTGTGAACATGAACTTGAACCAAAAACTAAATCAAGGAATATGAATGAAATGGCTCTAAACATATGCAAAACATCGTATTCAGTACTCTCGAAAGTACAGTCAATAGTCTTAAAAGCTAATTATGAAACGGAGATGGGTAAAAACATACGATTCGGTATTAAATTTAGAGTTTGCATACTACTTTCATCCTTATTTCATGATCAAAACTTCTATGAATTTTGTTCTTTTATAATGGGTACCATATTCGGTCGAGTCTTGAATAATAGCCCATATGAACGTTATATGGGTAAGATTTTGTTTCAAGGTTTAAATGCTTAAGAGTTTTAAACCAACAGTTCAACTGATTTATGCGTACTTTTATTTAAATACAGTTTACTATTAGGGGAATATCTAATTTAATTACCTCGTTCAAGGTTTATCCGAGAGTTCGGTATAGTTTTTTAATTAGTAAGTTTTAAAACTGCAACTGATTAAAATTTAATTGCAATAGGTTGACAGACATTATCTCTTCTTCATTGCATACATATTGCTTAAAATTTTTAAATTCTCTTTATTTGATTTCCATCCGTAAATAAGGAGGTCGTAAGCATTTAGGATATACTAAGACATTCATAAATAAAGCAAAATAAATTCTCTCCAATTTACGTAGTTATTAAATCGCATAGTTTCCAATATATGCCACAGTACAAGATCCCCTCGAAAGAATTTTAATAAATGGTTTGATGCGGAAATTTATTACCATTGACGACTTTCTCGTTTGATTAAGCATGGCAATATATCGAATCTTACATTATAAAAACATACCTGTAATCCATTGATTAAATTTAAGGATAAGAGTTTACGCTTACTTTTTTTTAATTTTTGTGTAGACTGGAATTTTAGTGTTGATATTATTTGATTACAAGTCCCCAAAAACAAAAGAAAATCTTTGAAAAATATGAATATTTTCTGATGTACACTTTTCATTGTGTGGCCTGTTTCAAGATTAAAGATTTAATATATGTTTAGTTTTAAAAGCGCTGATTGACATACACTTTTTAAGAAAAATAATTATGTTGGAGATCAAATTAAATTTTCAAACGGTCTTTGTGTACATGTGAAAACTACTAAAGTGTTAAGAAATTATTTTTTTCGTGAAGTTAATAGTGAACTTGTGTAAAATACTGTATGTATTATAATCGAAAATAGCATTTGAATTTGAATTAAAACGGATCAATAGTCCTGTTTTGCATCAGTTTTCTTATTTGCAAATAATCAAAATCCGAATTAAACACTTTCTCACAGATGAGATAAGAAATTGTATGTTTATGTGGCAATACTCGGCTATCGATACATTTTCATTTGTAATTTAGCCAGGAAGCTTAAATAAGCTTGAAGATAATTAACAATATCTTATTCATACACTTTTATGTATAGAAGTGTAGACTTCAAATGAAAATCATTTCATAAAATGCTAGTTTACTGATTAGTGTGTTTAAAACTCTTAAGTATATAAGTTTGTGATCTTTAGTTTTTTAACATGTGTGTATGGACACATTGCGGAAAAGGATATTTATTTTATTATTAGGAAAGTTTAGTGGGCTTTTGTAGAAGACAGATATATGTATACAGATGGGGCACTCAATTCTGGTCTCTCATGCTTTACTTGAGTATATCTTGCAAGTCACTGGGTGAATTGGTGTGATTGAGTTTGGTGTATTTAATGGGCGAAAAATATGGGTTGATGCAAATTGATGTTTTTATTATTGGTATCCTAGATATTTACAATTAAATTGGTTTAAAATGATTGGTTTATTTTGGTAAGCCAAAACACGTTTGTAACAAACAATAAATATACATATGTTTAGCAGTGGAATAATGCAAAAATTTGAAACATAATCGGTATGTTGTGATATATGTGGAAAGAAAATTATATTGCTTCGGTTTCTTTCTTTTTACAATGTATGAAAGTAGTAAAGTTAATTTGAATATAAAAATATTACCCATTCACTCATTTCATGCGTATCTGGATTTCTATGATGATAATTGAGGATAAGTATGGTTGACACAACTGATGAGGCCACCATAAACATAATGCAATTGAAATAAGTTCCTAGAAGGACACAAAAATTACACAAACTTGTAAAAAGTATTCGATTGGTTCACATTTTTCTTAACCTAGTTCCTAATCGATCACGCATTAACGAAGATATAGTGTTGGTGTGTTTGTGTTCGCTCAGGTGCTTTTTCCACCTGCTCCCATTTCCCCATACTGCTTAACCATTCTGTGATCAGCATCTAGATACATTTAAGAATACATATCGATTGCTTTGTTTGTTAGGACTTTGCTTTGTGAGGTGAGGCAAGATTTTATTACAATAAGCAAAATAATGGACAAATATTAGCTCTTTGTTAGAACAACGAGAATCGGAAGACAAATTGTTGTGAAATATAGTGCAAACCCAACCTTTTATATAATATATGTTAGTGCCCTAATAACCAAACACATAGGCCTAGAAACGAAATTGCGATAAGTTACTTGCGAAATATTTGAACTTCATTACCATACGGGAACAGGAATTCTTTTCTATTTACTTCATGAAAAACGAAACTTCATTTGTAAAGCGAAACGCACATTTTCAGGCCCAAAATCATAAGTAAAATCCTGCCCACCTGCCTGTGTGTATCTGAAAATAGCCGAGTGTCGCGGGGAAAATAAAATTTGTGCGGGAAATATAGAGGTGGTTAGTGAATACAAAAACAGTTTATTAAAGTCTGGCGACCCTTTAAAGCTCAGTTTGTACACATCGATGGCGTGCAGAGGCGGAAAAATTGGGGAAAAGTCACTTTGTAAAATGGCAAGGAAATTCGGGGAAGGAGGGATTAGGACGCGAAATCCAAAATGATACTTTTGGGATAGGAAACGTACGCGGGATGGGCTGGCATTGCCCATTTCCATTGAATAAAACTCGGCCGTGTGGGCGGAATATTAAAAGAGGGCGTGGGCGCTCGTCTCAGAGATTGTTCGAGTGAAATTAACTAAAAACTTTCAACACCAAACCCCTGATGGCGTTTCCTTCTAGCAACCAAAACTCATCAGTGGCTGACATTCCCAAAATTGATCGATTCAAAGCGTAGGCCAGCTGCAAATTTACAGGGCTGGATATGGATGTGGATTTTGGTTTTAAGCGGATACAACTATATATATCAAATAATATATATGTATGCAATTATCGCCTTAAATTCGGATGCAGGGTGATGTCAACCATTTGTTCGCCACTGAGTGTACAACCAATTATCCGCAATCATCATTTTATTTTAAAAATCGAGATCTAATTGGTAATTTCCTTAATCGTTGAGTTGAGTTGTTTTGAGTTTTTGACTTATGCACATATTTTACTCAGTCTGTGTTAATTTCCACACGGTTCATTGTTTTTATTGTTCTGGATCGGTTTTTCTTGATGTTGTTGCAATTTAATGTGAGAATTTAGAGTTGGATGGCGGCTTTCATAATGGGGTTTATTTGAATGATATTAGTACACTTTTATTGGCTTGATTAGGGCGTTTGGATTAATATTAATGTTGAGTGTCATCTGTTTTTAGTATGCACACTGATGAACAAATAAATGTGAATGGTTTGCTAGAAAATTAGGATGTAGCTGCGCTACTTTTTAGTCTACAATTTACTCGCCATATGTGGGTAAAAATATAGTACGCCACTTTTCATTTATTTTAAAGCGCTCAGATTTGTTTTTAATGAGCTTTCATTTTGATGATTTTGTAAGTGGCTTGAGGAACATGAGAATTAAACGCTCATGGGCGTACAATTTTGGCTTAAATGTTTCTTGGGGCACACACGTTTCGCTAAGCGTATGAATTGCAAATACTCTTTGAAGTATACTTAAGTATGATTTTTTCTAAAATATGCAAATATCTGCTAAGTTACAACGAAATAAATATCTGGGGCATATTTGTAAAAATAAAACAATGGTTTTCTTTTCGAATCAACCCTAAGATTGAAAACATGGCTTTTGAAACTAAAAATTGTGAGGGTTCAATACTGGATAATTTTTTTTTTTGTATAATTCCTTTTCTTTAAGCCAATAGTGAAATATGTAATAAAAAAAAAACAAGACAAACAGAGCTGGAAAAACATCGATGGCAATATCAAATAAATTGTTTATTCGCTACTTTTATTAAACAAGTAGAACTATTTTTGAGAACCATCGATTGTTTCTCGTAACTAATTTTTCGTCACTAGTTCGGAAAGCGGCAAGTAAGCTTGAAAAATGCATGGGCTTCGCAGTATTTGATTTTTTAGAGTAAAAGCTTAAGGTACCACTCGGAAATTTAACCTATTCGTAATAAAACACACTTAGACGTTTTTGAATCTTTGGTTTTCACATTTTTTTAACTATGTTCAAGTATAAGATACCCTGCTACAAATGTGTCAAAACCTATAACGTTATTATGACCTAAATAAAAGAATTGACCCCCTTCACAGATGTTTTTCCGAGCTCTATAGGTACGTGAAAACAAACTATTGATGGGTATAATATAGTATATGCCTGGAATAATCAATCAGTGGCCAAAGGGCAATCGTTTTTGAGATACATATGTAGTTTACGGAAAAGGTTGGCAGAATTCCAATACCGGTTCACATTATAAGTAATAACAAATAATTTACTGCATTTCCTTTAATTTGTGTTTTACAATTTTGGGCTGGGGAAGTCATACGATACGATTTGGTGTGTTTTATTTACAAGTGTGTTGGAAATTCTTCTAGCCTATGGTGTATAAATTTATTAATTGGTATTAATTGCCCAAACAACGGAAAGGAGCAGTAAAGACTGTTTACCACACTACTGGATAGTTAAACAGAAAAGTCAAGATAGTAAACCATACATAAATAAAATGTCCAGGATGAAAGAGATGTCTGGGGAAAAATAATGACTAAGTAGCTTGGCTGAAATCAGTTCTCCCTCTATTTGCTGATGAAAAAAGCCTCCTAACTATTACGCAATTCATCATGAATATAATAATAACTATTAATGGCTCATATAGTAATGAAAAAATTGAACTGTGGGATTGATTCTATTAATAGGATACATTTCAAGTACGCAGAAACAAAATGCATACATGTATGCACATAATATTCAAATATTTTCGACTAGTGAATATTATCAAACTTTTAAATTAGCCAGGAATACTTGTGATCAAGTATTCTTGAAACATTATTAAATGGGTCTTACTTAATTGAACATATCAAAAACAACATATAGCTTGATAAGTAACATACATTTTGCAATATGTACACACTACATTTCAATGTGGAGTAATGTCAAGGAGAACGCCATGGAAAAGGGAAGTCGGCATCCGCACAAGACATGTTTTTCTTGAAAATATGTTGATTTAAATCATGACATATGCATGCTTTTCCATACAAATTGTCGAGACATTTATAAAAAACAGCTATTGTGAAATGGAACACAGCAATGCAACAACGAACAAATCTATCAACATATATACCTGTTTTTATTCTCTGAGCTGTCTGAGATGCAATCGACTTTGAAAACATAAGCCGACCCTTAGGAGTCTTAATGATAATGGTAACAACAAGATTTGTTGAGCAAATGGAATCGTTCGACTGACGGTTGTATCTACACCACAATATGGGAAAGAATATTATATACCTTTAAAGTCTGGAATAATCTCATCAAATTCTAATAATCACCTGGAGTGGCAAGTACCAGAAACTCTGTAAATTAATTCTATTTTGTAGCTATATTTGCCCATGTAAAAGAATTCATAAATAATATACAAACAAAAAATTTGAATTTATCAAAACAAAATATAAGTTATTACAAATCGCCAAATAAATATTGATTATTCAGTTTTTGTTACTCAACTGGGAGGCAATATTCTTTCTTTCTAAGACATCTTCTTATTTAGGAAACACAGATTTTGAACAAAAAGTTTCGTCAAAGGGGGCAAAATAAGAAAATAAGAAATTGAGTATTGAAAAGTTATATATAATCTTAATTGTATGTGGAAATTCTGCCACCTTATCGCAGTGAATTCAGACAAAACTGCTCTGATTACGTTTATACTCGATCCTATGTCAGCTAGTTGGTGCTTTTGGATATTAAATATTGTGGCGCAGATGGATGGAAAAAGGGTATAGATCTCGGTTTACAATGGTGTACTCATATATCGGTGTTACTATATATAACATATACGTGTGGGTGATTATGTATCGAGTGTGTACGGTGTATTTGCGTGGCGCTTAGTGGGAAAGGGTTAAATTGATTTCGTTTCGTGGAAACCAATTTTCCTCAGTCCAATGCTTGACGTATGGAAAAGTCAGGCGGGCATTTGTGTTCCTTCATGCCAACAAGAACATTTTTTCGCATACATTATGTGGTAGTGGTCCTTGGGAAATCTCACCGACGAAAATCAAAACGAATCAATTGAAATTAATATTTAATCCAAACACAAACCGAACAGATAAGTAAACAGAAAGTCTGCACTTCTCAGACTTGAAATTCCCCAAATGAGTTTGCACACATGAAATCCATAAATGTATGTATGTTGTACAATAAACGTAGTCAAACAAGAAATACAATACTGGGAAATCAAAAATATGTAATATACCTTTGGCTCAAAGAGCAGACAGAAAATAAAACTCCCTACCAGTTTTCTTTAGAGTTTCATAACAAAATGTTTCTACTTCTGCTGCATACAACAGGTATACAAATATTTAAGTCTGTAAAAACTAATATTTGAGTTCATAAAAGTGTGTATTTGAGTTTTATTCATTTGCGTGGTCAAAATTGTTGTACAGTGAAAACATGTGGTAATAGGTTACAAAATGTGCGGGAATAGGACATTTAGTAAAATATTTATCTAACAAGTGCGCTGCCATGCAAAGTCAAATGAAATTGCTGAAAAATATTGCCTACAGATTATAGTAAAATCAAATGAAATGTAGCGATATTTGAAATAAGGAATAATCTACATTGCAGTCAGGCAGTATCTTTAAGTAAGGCTTCACCGTAGTTATAATATTTATAGAGGAATATACTTGAGTTTAGTAAAAATCGGCATAAAAACTAAAAAACTCTCGCTGCCTCTTGAATTTAACATTCCAATAGCTTAAGTACACTACTTAACTTGTAGATCTGAATAAGTTCAATGAGTAATCTAGCCATTTTAAACCAGTAATAGTTTCAAAAAATGTATCTAAGTATGGTTACATCGGAATTGAAGACAATTTTAACCGATACCTAGTATTTATATAAATATTTCTTTAAGCACTGATATATAAAGTGATTATCACATCTGTGAATCAGATATTCGCTCATTAAACTGCATGTTAACATAGAGTTGACATACAATTGAGTATCGAAGATGAACTAAGTACTCTAACCGAAATTTCTATGCCCATGGGTATCATCTATGAAAAACTTTGTTAAAATCGCATTTTGTATAATGAAAAACTTGAATATTAAACAACATGCGACGTTAGCATAAATAAGATAAGCATGCCTTTAACTTCCTACTTGTTTCAGTGTATGTACTTATGATAGTGCTGGGTAGGGATTCTTTATTCAAGGGTAACGAGATGATTATGGATTATTTTATTTTGGGAAGCTAAATTTTAGCCCTTTATGTGTGCCCCAATTCACAGAGAAATATAATTTCTTCATAAGAAAGGCAAAAAATAATATCAGTGATGGTTTATTTGAACGCTGAGACGCCAAAGCTGTGCGGTAAGAAGAGTCTTGGATGATTGCTGAATGAGTTGAGAGTAGTGCGTTAGTTTAGAAACTTAGTCAGACGTAGATTTGAATTGAGATTGAGATTGAGATTGATATTGAGACTGGCGGTATTCATTATTCTGGCCACGATCTACTTACCGAGCAGCGGCACCGCATCGGAGGTTGCCGGCATAGTTTCGGCCACCATGTTGAGGAAGACTGTAAGCGATAATAGAATTGTAACTCCTGAAAGTAGGCAGCACAGGGTTAAAGGGCCACTCAATCATTATGATTTAGTTGGGTTTTGCGGCGATTCACACGGCAGCGGCGATCAGTAGAAGGATATTAGCAGGATATAGCAGGACAAACGAACAGATCGATGGCGGCATGGAATTAGATGAAAGTTCATTTGTTAGTCAATGGATAAGTTGAGTGCGCTGCCACGATTATTACACATTAAATGCGTGCACTATTACGATTACGTTAACAAAATATTTTATTGTAATAACCAGTGATCCTGCTGATCCTGATTCCGCTCCTCATGATCCTGAATTTGCGACTGCCGCTTTGCATGTCCAATGTCTTGGCCAGGTTTATTGGATGGTCGCCATTTCCATTATGACCTTTCTTTCGTTGCCTTCAATAAAAAACTACTACCGTATTTTCTGCACTGAACCTCACCCCCTCTGAGCAATAATAATTTAACAAGCTTTCAGTTCATTTACAAATCAATCAGGTTTCTAGATCCCGTCCGATACATACTCAGTACACGTGTGCATACCATTCGTGGAAATATGTGTAACAATTTGAGACAGGATTGGAGAGCAGACAAAACTATTTTTAAGTGTGCATTTCCAATGGCATTAGAGTTTCAAATTCAATTAATATCTTAAAACAATTTAACACACTTGATAAATATGTGGAAAATACGAAATATATTTTTGCATAAGTAAATGGAAACAGTTTTTATCCAGAAGATAGAGCTTCTGAAACAAAGACTTACATGAATTCAATCAAACAAGGGCACATTTTGACAAAGTAAAAACATTTCAATGCAAAGGCTTTTAATATTAAGTTTGCAACTTTGATCCTGTTAATTCATTAGATTTGGACCAACAGTAGGTTTTTAATTCGATGGCTTTATATCGTGGTCGGCTTCTCACGGTGCGCTTCGTCACTACGTGAGCTGCCGCACTGCTACGTTTCCCTACTTCTCTGTCACACATATTGCCACGAATTTTTTCAGAACGAATACCGAGTGCAGCAAATAAAAAGGTTATTCACACTGGCTTAAGTGGTGCTGCATTAGCATGAAGAAATAATCTAAGATGGGAACACTGGGAAGAATTCTTTAGAGCAATTGGTGGCTAGAATGAGTTGCAGAGTCGCATGCAAAAGATCTACATTAAATTCCAATAGATACTCCAGATGCATTAGCATGTCTAAAAACAAAAGCAAACAAGAAGTAAATGAAGGTAGCATTGTAATTTGCACAATCTCGACTACTAGGTAATAAAGTTCGTTTCGTTCTAAGCTCGAATCGTATCGGTTATCGGTTATCGATTATCGGTATAGTTTGTAGTTTGTGAAAATTCGTGAGCACAGAGATAGAAGGGCAGGGAGATCAGGCCAGAACATCTGGACGACACTTACCAAGCGAAAGCTTTTCACCAGAATCTGGTGGCAGTGTAAACCCTAGCAGTGCCATGGAGGCGATCAGTACGCACGGCACAATCAGATTGAAAAAATAGTACAATGTTTTGCGTCTTATCAAAATGGCGAATGTTATGTCAATATAAGGTTCTGGGCAGCAATTATAGTAGATTTCATTTCGTTTACCGGGCACACCTGTCAGTTGAGTTCGAATCGTTTCAACGTGTGTTTTGTATGTTTTTTTTTGTTTTTTGAGCAAATGGTATTGTTTTTTTTTCAATATGACACATGATTTGTTGACGGAGTAGAGAAAAAGATATTAATTATGAAATTAATAAGATACATTTCATTAGGTTCGGTCTGAATAAATCAGATGAGATACAGTAGCGTGTGCTTAACGTGCAGTGCTCTTTACCTACCTAACAAGTCCCATTCGCCATTGGTTATAAAGCTAGAAATGTCGCCACCAGCTTCGTCCTGCAATTGCAGGTCCAACTGGGAAATGGACGAAGTAGATCTTATTCGTTAGTAGCTTAGGTAGTGCTGTGTAGTTACCTGAAACCCATCGTAGGTCCACGAACCAAACTTCATCTCACATCTCTGATCGTCGAATGGAAACCACGTAATGTCGATCTTACACGTAGACTTGAATATACCTGGCGGTACGTACAGGCAGCTCCCATTATTGCGCACCACCACATTGGTGGCGTACGTTCCATCGAAGCCCTCGTCCGCACTGGAAAGAGACGTTAGAGGAGGCTTTACTGTAGCAACGCGGCAGTGATTATCCAGCAATTATAAGCACCTATTTAAGAGTGGAACGCGGGCTTAGTAAAGTTATGTTAATTACCTGTTGTACATCAGAACATCCGGTTTCCAAAGGCGATGTGGCGGAATCCGCAGATCCCGCACACCTCCAAACTCACTCGAATTCCATCGAAGATTCATATCGTTCCATTCCTGATGATAAACAACATTGCATTCCTATCAACACCGCCCCAAGCATTTTCCTGCGACTGATGTGCGGAATCTCCAGCCAAGCAACACAACTTACCAATTTGAGCCAAATATTTGTTATAAGCAGTTGATTCTTTTCGTCCTGAAAAACGCAAAATACAAACTCATTGATTTCTTCTAGTAAAATCTGTTAATTACTATTACACGATTGATTTATTTCTCGTTATTCTGTGTTCAGCCCCATCCTTTTCATACAATATACACTGATACATAAAAGAAATATAATAGAGTGGCTTTCTGAACGTTGGAAACCCACAATGTCAGTTGGTTACAAAGTCAGTCTGTCTAGAGACCCATACCCTGTATACAGGTCAGGGAGTTATCGCTTTTGGGTCCAGTACGTAGTATTCACTTACCACATCGATTATCTGCATGAGTGTTAGTCCGAAGCTCAGTTGTAATGGATCGGATTCGTTGACCACCGGACGCTCCAAGCTATTGTAGTTGTCCAGCAGGGCGTGGAGTAGCCGCTTCTCGTGGGGTCCAGCCGTACAGGCTGGTTGATAGATGGGAAAAGGGTAAGAAGAGTTCACAGACTCACGATTAGCTGGGATACCGCAACTTGGGGACAAGGATTGTGGAATGTGCCTTATAAAAGACCATGTTTATAGCATGGAAATGTGGCCATCGAATATTTTCTTTAAGTGCTGGAAGGGATGGGGACTGGACACTCACCCGGTATCATAATTAAAAGTCCGAGGCCATAGACCAGCATTTTGCCACCGTTCGCAGTGGCTTCCGGCAATGAGTGCGGCTGTGGGAAGCTCATGGTTCTGGTTCTCTCCTGGCCAGAGCAGAATGGATTCTCCAGCCGAGTACGTGATGGCTTCTTCATATCTCGATTGAGCCGTGGAGTTCGATAATCCTATAACCCTAGATCTAGATGTGTGGGCGCAGTGGGTAGTCGTTAGTGGGACTCAGCCTCCTTTAAGTTCACTGCCATAGTTTTGCATTTTGATTGTGGTGTCCGTGCGGTGTGTTTTGTTGTTTCGGTGTTTCGGTGTTTTGGTTGGTGTTGTCGATAATCGAATTTTGGATTCTGGACTACTGATCGTGCGCATTCGAGCCACTTTTTGGATCCATTGACGACTTGCTTCTAATCCTACGCTTTTCGTTAGCTTTCTGATGTTGATTGACTTCTCATATTGGTTCGCCTCACATTGGCTTCACTCTAATATTTCTTAGCTTTGATTGTATATACTTTTCTTAATTGCAAGAGTATCGTGAGATTCTTACAGGGCGATCCATTTTTGATAGGCTGTAAAGGAATGGAAAGTTGCATACAATTTTAGTTTGGGAAAATAGGTGATTAGGCTTTAATCTAATTAAATAATTAGGCAAAAGTTTGGATCTTGCATTCGGACATGGATTATTATCTCGTGTGAATGTTCCCTTTTATAAGTTTTAAATGGTTTCTCGAGAAGTTTAAGTACCGTGTTCTAAACAACATTGTCTGAGAAATGACTGGAAGGCAAATTGATGTTGTAGGTGTCAGGTAACAAAAAAGGAAAACGACGACCCCACAATTTACATACGTAGTAAACGCATCTAGTTTTTCTGTTGGTATTGCAAACTGTTCACAAAGACGGTATACATAGAATATTATTTTAAAGACTGGCATTTATTAAAAACACTATGTAAGTTTATTATTTAATATCAAACAAATTTGTTGTGCACGACTATTTCCAGTGATTTGGTTTTCTATCGGCCGCATATTAGGGGGCATTGTGATTTCCGTGATCCGGGAAAGCCATTAAATGCAAATGAAGAACCACAGATTTTCCTGGTCCATCTGGTCGTGCATTTTCTCATCAAACTTTGTTTTTATTGCCTGAAAGTATTTAAATTTGTATGGTTTTAAATTTCTTTTTTATTTAATGTTATAAAGTGCCACATTATGAGTCACACAAATAACACATTAAATTTAAAAATTTACAATTTAGGCTTTTAATGTAAACGTTTTTAAGCAAGTATGCTAAGTATCAAATGCGTTCAAATGTAAAACTCACAAGCGTATATAAATAAATATTACATTACGCAGACTAATATGTTTAATATTATGTACATAGTGCGTAGTAAAATATTGTCCTCAACAATTTCTGGTTTCTTATAAAAACACACTATTTTTATAAAACTTTGTCGACTTACCTTCAAGGTAATCCATATTTTCCTCTTTCACTTTGAAGCAATTTCATTTGCCGATCCCGATCCCATCTGAAAAATAGGCACATTTATTATTTTACTACTCACAGCATATCTTGTTTATGTGTTTAAATAAATAAAAATTAATTGCTTAGTACAATGCAAATAAAGTCTGGACCAAATATTACGGGAAATAACCCTTTTTAGCTTGAAAGGCGAATTCAACGGGTGAAAGTTTAAAAAGAAGAAATTATGCAACTTTTTTTTTTTTTTTTGCAATTTTGTTATATTTCTCTAATTGCAAACCGGCTTACATTATGGAAATCAGTATATATATGATATATCAGTTAATACACTGCGATAAGTCATTCTAATCAAGCATATACTTGGTGGATTAGAAATGCAGGCAAAAATGTAAGGAAATTGTGTTTTTTAAATGTTCGTAGGCTAAAAGCATTTTATGAGAATTATACAGAGAATATAACACGATATGCCATTGCAGAGGGCATTATTTACAACAAATATGCACCTGAATCATTTTACAAAATGCGAGTACTTTTCATCCTCCAACTGCAATGGCATAAAAATTCGGGTTCCAAAAATTGGCTACCGTTCTTGCGTAATATCTTAATATTTTTTTTGTAGTCAATTCAAAATTCAAAATAAGAGTTATGAAAGATGGAGATTTAAGCTGACGAAGCAGTTCAGTTTGGGTGGAGATTTAAAAATGTAGCTATCAAGAGCAATGTGGCTTTTTATGTGATTTTTACTGGTTTCTAATTTTCTAGAAATATATATAGACCTAAAAGTTTGGCAAGCTCAAGCATATATAGGCAATTTAAGCAGTAAGTTCAAGGTAAATAAAAATGTGGTTAAATTTAAAGGTGACTATCTTTGTAATAAATACTTAAATGCTATGATAATTGCTTCTTAGTAAAGCGCTGTTTTAGATTACATTTAATTTAGCAACTAAGGATGTTTTGGATGGGGCTTACTTTAAAAATAGGTATGTATATGCAGCACACACTTCCTTAAAGCCCAAATAATAGATGATAAACCGGCACTGTGCAGCTGAATATTACATTCAAAATTTATTCGATTACATCCTTAAAAATTCCCATCGCCCTGGGGCCGTAAAAAATCCTGCGGCAGTCCATTATCATTTAGGTTCTTGGCCAGCTGCTCCCAAGTGATTGCCACAATATAACCCTGTCCCCACGATTAGGACCCTCGCCATATCTACGCTTTGCTGTCTAAATTGAGGAGGAGAAAGGAGGTGCTTTCTTTTTCGGATGTCCCATGCTTTCCCCTGGAATTGAGCAATGTTTTATGAATTTACAATGAAATTGCGTGCATCTACTTACATTTTCGGGGAATTGAAAATTTGCTACGAGGCAGGCGAAAATATGGGATGTTTCTATTTCGAATGTTCAACTGATGGTTCACAAATAATGCGATTTTTAAGTAATTATTTCATATTTTATCCTATTCTATTTAATTTGTACATTTTACATTTCTATATCTTGTATAATTACTTAGTTAGCGTTCTTCACAATACATTTCTGTTGTTTTAAAACTGGGTATATATAACCTTTTTAAAATTTAACTAATACTTGCTATTGAAATTTTCGCGGTATACATTTCTGGTACTCCAGCGATTCCAACTAAACTGATTTCATATACATAAAATACACATATACAATACGACCAGCGATTTTCTATTTTTAAACAATGCTTGTGCCTTTTTAGTGCCCTTAATTCACTCAGTCATGCAAAGTTAGCTAAAAGAAAAGCAATAGCAAGCTGCGGTATTTATATAAACGTGAATTAGAGATACATTTTCTTTATCACTTACCTTGGATTGTATGATTAAATGATTAAATGTTGTTTATCACTTGCACTTGAACAAGAAAATCCCGCGTACATGAACAATAAGATTTGAAAACAGTGTTTTCACAATTTTGAATGGCGGAATTCGTTTTTTTAAGCGAATTCCGGCATAACACAATAATAAAATGAATAATTTATGCATGTTGATACAAATAACTAAATTTGTTTCCCCAATGAATGCATTTATTTACATTGACACTTGATTTCATTGTAATTATTTTTTTTAACTTTAAATGCCATTGAAAATTATTTTCACTTCATCCCATGCCGTCTATTTTTTCCTAGTGTTTCTTTTTTTATTAACTGGGGATAATATTTTCAAAGTATTCATATCAGCATTGCCTATCGTATACCCTGGTATATATGATATTTAGTGTTAATGGGGCGCAGCTGAGTTGTTTGTATGTTTAAGCCATAAACAGGAAATAAAGCTTTTGTGTTTTGTGTTTTTGCTCGCCTTACATATGGGGCAAAAATAATGTAACAGGTAGAAGGAAGCCTATGCTATGGTAAATCTTAAAAATAAGTAGGGAGAATGGCTACAGCATTTATTAGTTTTTAAACACATAATTGTCTATAATGGTCAATTAAATGGTTTATAAATTCCTTGAATTTTCGCAAGACAAAAGTACATTTCTAATCCTGTTTGCAGCTGTAAAATGGAAAAGGTATTTAATCTCAGTTAATCACAGCTAACTACAAAATTCCCAATTCATAAAAACTTTTGAAGCCGCCAGAGGACTTACACAATTTTTAAGATAGTTAAATTGAATACTTATATTCTGCGACATAACACGCTTAATGTATAATGTATAAATTTGATAACTGCAGAGATAACTAGCCAAATCCTTGCCAATCAACACAGGTTTCTAATGATACGGGGTTTTCCTTGGACACTCACCAGTCATAATATTTGCATAGATACGAACGAATTGTCTAGCTCCATTGAGACTAATTTTTTTGTTTGGTTTTCCCATAGCACTCCTGACCAGTTAAGTTTGCCTCGAAAACACTAGGGCGAGTGATTTGTATTCTAAATTGGATGCAAAGTGGAGGAAATGGAGGAAAGCAATGGAACTCGTACCATAAGTACTGGTTGCACTATCGGTTAGCTATTTACACTATTACTGACCGCTTGCTCAAGGAACATTACGCACCACGGATTCATGGCACTCTGCTGGCACAAAACTTGTAAAAAAAAAAATTATACATATATGCAGATATATTTATATATGTATATATACATATATGTGGGTAACACCTTTAAAAAAAAGTTGATCGCTGCGACGATAGATGATGAAGGTGATTTTACGGCGCGTTCGAGGATTTATCATTGATTTCACATTCCATACGAATAACGCACATTTTCGGCTGCTTGTTAGTTTGGTTGTTTGTTTGTTTGCTTCTCGCTTGCCAGCAGCTATTTTTCCCAACTCGGATTTGGAATCCGATTCGGATTCAGACTCCTATTCGGATACGGGCACGGATGCGGATGGTACTGATAGGACCAGCACTTCCTCGACCGATTCGCTCACGACCACGCACTCGACTGAATGGCTGTGATAGCAGAGGCGTCCGATGCCGCACAAAAGTCCAAACTACCACAACAGCATTTCAGAAAGCCGAGAAAACCGAGAAAGCCGAGAAAGCCGAGAAAGCCGAGAAAGCCGAGACTTTCCAACTGCAACTGAATGCCCGACTCCGCAGCGACACGTGGCCCACCATCGTGCCGGTCCTGTGACCTTAAACGAGAGCATAACATCGCCCCATCGGGTGTCCTTCGGCTCTGCAGGCTCCTGCAGGCTCCTGCAGGCTCCTGCTGTTAGCAGCGCGCACGCCTTGCCGGAATGTTGTGAAAAGTAAACAAATTAGGTGGCACTACCACACAACATCCTTGTTGATGCATGTTAAGGATGCACTGGACTGGACGCCACGTGGTGCTCCCCGCTTGTTGTCGTCCCGCTGCCAATGGAAATGTACTTACGGGCCATTGGATACGGAATGATATGCTTTTCAAGCTTCAGAAATATAGTATTTTTTGAATTAATACAACACATAATTCATGTAATCAGTCAAGTAATCAATCACGTTAGAACGAAATCAGGTATCTCAGGATTTAACATCATTCATGTGTCGTCTAGGGGCAAGTCAACTTTCTGTCAGCGTTTCAAGGATACGGTACACGCAGAGAAAAACTAGAAAATGCAGCGTTAGATTGGCACGTTTGTATAGAAAACCCCTGCCCAACAAAATGTATAGTAAACATTTGGTTTTATTTTCACAAATTTTAATCGTGTTTTCATCTAAATACAATTATAAATACTATTAAAATACAACGAAGCTCTGACATGTATATATTTGGAAAATAAATAGGTAACAAATTGGGAGTGTTAAACATTAAACATTGCATTGGTATTCATAAAAATTTTACATGTTCAATTTCTTGCCACAATAGTTAATGCTTTTTTTGTGTGTACAGCAAATAATGTTCTCCCCTGAAAGCTGTTATACCCAGTTTCATTGCCAGCAATCCACAACAAAGTTTCGGCTGAAAACACAGGATCCACTGCACTTTTTTCTCCTAAAAGCTTTTTTTATATTGCAAGTTGGCTTTCTCTGCACCATTTTATGAAAAACGTTATACCAAATACGATTTTTTCACCCCTAGTTCCCATAACCTAAGGTTTTTATAGCAAGTTATGTCCTAAACTGTCCCAAAAGCAGCAAAAGTGAATGCCTCTTTATGGAAGTAATCTAAGGAAGCTTGAGCTTTAAACTTACTCTACTCCTGGGCTTTTAGCAAATAACATATTTAAACTTCAAACACGACGTCACTAAATAAATGCGATGTAAAGCTCGGTAGCTTTTGCAATAGCTTCCACTGTGAAAAAGGTACCACTTTACAAAACCGAAATCATTTCCAAATCTAGCTTACCCATTCACCCACCCAAAGAAAGACGAGTTACCCTCATTGCTTAAATTTGGTTCTGAGAATAAGCTATGGGCTATTTACATCATTCTGTACATCAGGTACAGGTTTGGACCTCTAGTAGACTCATACTTTTGTTAACTGTCCTTTGACTATACAAGTTTAGGTGTTTCTACAATTTACATTTATAGTCGAGTTCCACGACTATCAGGTACCCGTTACATGTTACATATATAGTGGGATTGAGTGGGTGTGGTAACGCCTTGACATTTATAGTTCTCGAGATCACCACTTTAGTAAAATCTGACTGACGGGCATGCCCATATTGAAATGGATGGTGATCTTAATCGAGATCATTTCTTTCTGTTACATAACAACAAATATAGAATAACCTTTTAGTGTACGATTAAGAGGTATAATTGCGCACAAACTAGTTTTATTTGGTAAGAAACCCCGATTGATGAAACGTTCAAGGACAAGGGACTTTTATAAGCGTCGTTCGGTTCGATAACATGAATGACCTGTTCTTTATATACAACCTGGACCTGGAATTATCGCTGAATATTTCCGCTTTATACATAAAACAAAAGAATAACACTTTCGAAGTGTCCAATACGATTGTTTTAGCCTTTACTCGAGGAGTAAAGGGCATACCCCCTTTTTATACTTTTCAACGAATCTAATATGTATATACTTTTACTAGACGAGTAATGGGTGTAATAACTACATACATTTCATTGGCATCGGAATCGTCGTACCCTGTTTTAGTATGATTAGTAATACGCCCAAGTGTATGCAAGGCATTATGTTACGTAAATGTTTGTTATAACAATAATTCGTTGTATACTTTTTGTTAAAGTGCATTGTTGCTGTTGCAACCACTCAGCTGATGTTCCAGTCCAACATGTTGCGTGTAGGCTCGGCTTAGTTCGGTCCGGTTCGCTGCGACTCGGTTCGATTCGGCTCGAGCTGCCTGCATCGAGCCGTGCTCTCGAACAGATGTGCGTCGCAGTGTTGTTGCAAACGCCGGTCGCGTAGGTTGTTGCTAGTGTGAAACGTCGAGCGCATCGCCCACCCACACGCACATACACATATGTACGTAGTCGAGTGCGCGGAGCAGTCAGTTGTTGCCGCCAATTGAATGGACAGTCGCGGTTAACGAAACACGAAAAGTCGCCTCGCGTCGCGTCGCGTGGAGTTCACTTGAGCTGAGTGGCGGCGAGTGTGTGTGTTTGCTTTTTTTTCGAACGCGCGAAACACGCGGCTGTTGCGGCTGTCGCGAGTGCATTACTCACTGTTTTTTTTTCGGTTACTTGCAAGTGATACCCCTTAAACGACCCAGCCCCCCCCTTCAACCCGCTCACAAGCAGCAAACGCCAAAAGGTGATTATATTTGGAAAAGCAAAGCCGTGGAGTAAATAACGGAGCGGAGAGCGGATCAACACAAAGCGAGGTAAAGAGAGTGGGAGAGATAAAGAGTCAAAATAAGTGCATAGAGTGCGAGGGAGAGAGATGGAGAGAGCGAGCGGGAGAGTGCAATGCTGTCCGTGCGTGTGTGTGTGTGTGTGTCTTTTTACGTACGTATGTGGCTTCTTTCAATGGTGTTGGTGTACCCGTTGAACCGGTTCGACACTCATCTTCGACTTACCTGCAAAACAACAGAAGCAACAATGATAACAACAACAGCAAAAGCGACTGCAGCGTGGTTTGTGCTTGGAAAAACATGAAAAACTGAAACTGAAGCAAAATGCAGCATCGCCAGCAACAACACAACAACAACAACGAAATGAGAACAACAACGTGCAGCTGCAGCAATTGTAATGTCAAATGAATCAAACGAACTGCATCATTTGCTTTTCCGAAGGCAGGAAAATAAGGGAAAGGCAAAGAAAGAAAGAAAACATATTTACCATATATACATATGTATGTATGTATTTACGTAAAGTGCGGTGTGCAGTTTAAAAGCCATTAACCCCAAAAACTGAAGTAACGAATCATCTGCCCGGAGATCGCTGATTTCCCCCCACTGAACTCAATTCGGTTGGCCAGAATACACAGAATACACCCGTTACAAATTGGTGGCTAATATGCAATATGATCTTTAGTTTGCAACCATATGCATATCCACAGTCTTCAAAAACAACGTGTGTGTGCGTGCCCGCTGAGGGGTTAAGGCGAGCGCGCGCGCTACCTGCGCGCCCTGCCAAGGGTTAAGCACTCAGGCAAGAAGTTTCGCGTGTAATTGACGTTGCCAAAAATTAAGAAAGAAAGAAAAACAAACAAACGCAGAACAAAACAAAACAAAAAAACTAGCAAGAACAGAACAAAAGCACGACAAGGAATTAGAAGACAGCGAACAGAAGAGAAACTTAATTTTTTTTCTGTTCTTGTTTCAGGTTTTACACTCTTACAGAGAGTACATTGGTTTACGTATGCAAGGTACACATAATCTTGATCAGTATTGAGTTGATATAATCATGTTCGCTTATCCGTCCATGTTAATAAACAAACTAGTCTCATTTTTAAAATGATCTGCGTGAAACTTTCCCAAATGTCTTCTTTCGATTACAGGTAGTAAATATATACTTCGCAATGGGCTCAATCAGACTACTATATCATAGAAGACTACCACCATACAATCGGAAAATTATCTGAAAGTAATAGAATCTCTATAAATAGTAGATTCATTGCTTTTGATCATTCGGTATACACCAGGTTTTTTTTTATATTTTTAATGCAAGGGTATATAAGCTTCGGCTTGTTTTCCTTCTTCGTTTTTTGTGTTTTGTCCATGCAGTACAGTTAGCCGCCAGTGGTACTGTCAAAGTGTGCGTGTTTCTGCGGGTGTGATTACCTTGGTATTGGTAGGTGCGTGCGTGTGTGAGTTGGTGTTTTTGGCGGGGCACTTTTTTGTTGTCATGAATTTATCCTGGGAGCGAATAAGAACTGCAGGCGAAAGGAGCGAAAATGGGCGAAGCGGGTGAACAGGGGAAAACAGGGAAAACCAAAAACAAAGCGATTAGCACGGAGAAAATCCAGCAAAGATGCGAAAATTGCGGCCTAGAAAGTAAGACCCTAAGAAAAAGTGCCAATAAGACTTGGGAAACAATTGGATATACCCTCGCCCAACGTGTTTTGGTGGCTTATAAGCACTAAAGGTCAAATTCAAAACGATAGAAATATATATTTTCACTTTGAGGAAAAGCTTAAGACGGAAATGTATTTCAGATTTGTACCATCTTAGAATTTGTTTATTACTTTAGTTTATCGCTTTAGTTTCAGACACAAATCTGTATAGTCAAAATTTAATTTTACCGCCCTGCATTTTATGGCTATTAAATGGTGTAATTTGATTATGGATTTTATTTTGGGTCGCCTTTTTACTACAACCCAAATTAAATATGACAGATATGGAATTTTTCGATTTAGGGAATGCGTATTATGGTTTTCTTACGATGGAAATAGAATTTCTACTTCATCTCTGAATAGAAAAAATTCCTTACTCTTTCCTTTCTATCAATTAACATAGAATTCGAAACTTTATTATTTCTCAAAAACACTTGTATTAAACACAAACAATCTAAGAAAATAATTTTGTCTTCATATCTGTACAGTTGCCACAAAAACGATCAAGTCCAATTAGAAAAGTGTATTTGTTTAAAAGCAATTACAAAAAAATTACATATTGTTTTTCGCTTTCTACAAAAAGTAATAACCAAAATGGTCCTAAGACGAACATGTGAGACATTTTTTTGGGGTTCTATTTCACAAGCACTTGAAACAAGATATTAGTAGAGTAGTTTTATAGTTCTCAGAATCTTATAGATATAATATTAAAAGAAACATTCATTGCTCTTAAATATAAATATAAGTAAATAAGACTAAATGACCAATTAGGTTTTTATACAAACATGTGGATAATTAAAAGTCGTTTTCTTTCTTAAATAAGCTATGTAGTTCTTTGGTTTTAAACATTTCATATCTCATATCAGATTCTTATGGTACACTGAGCGCTCAAGACTTTAATCTAAAGAGATGTCGGTGAAGAATATCCAAGGAGACCTTGAATAAGTATTTTAGAAAAGTAATAAATAACGTTAGGCAAATAGGACTTAAATAGGGATTATCACCTTCAATTTGTTGACGAGATTAAGTTTTCAGTGCGTTTTGCGTGTGACTTAAGCTGAATTTTGGGCTACCAGGGGAAAATATGCCAATGGTAATTTTGTGGTGGACCGTCAGTCAACTCCCGAAACGAGGAATCTAAAGTTCAGTGAAACTACCTCAAAATTGTAAAGTACAATTGGCTTAGGAGAACTGGCAAACTTTTGATTTTATCGTGACAATGAACCAAAAGCCGAGTCGGAAATTGTTTAAACATCGCTCGACTTCTAATTGTCTCCGCATTTTTTTCCACCGACGGCATTTGACAAAGACGTTATCTAAATATTCGTAGATAACTCAGGGAAAATAACATTAGCAAACGGAAAATATCAAACGAGTAGAGTACATTTAGGGTCATTGATTTGGAATAGGAATTGGACCTATGTATGTATGTACTAAGTCAACATGGGAAGTCACCAAAAAGCTGGTGATAAACGATACATCAGCGGTCTTGTGGCATGTGTACATGTGAACCAAGCCATTCCACACACATTTCACCCAAGTTCCCAATGTTGCGCTGAATATCCAAACCGTTTGGACTGAACTTTAAGCAAAGTCACTGTTCCACTGCAGAAGATGGATAACAACACCAAGTGCTCCTCGTAAAATGCCGCAGGGTTTTCACAGGGCAATGACAAGGAGACTTTGAATGACCAAAACGGGCTGTTTCGAAATTATTATTGTAGCCTATTAAATTATAGATATTTTATTTTTGTACTTATTCATATTGGATGCTCGAAGTCAGATTCTAATTAATGTTTCTTCGATGGTTCTTATTTTCTCAATGAGCTGGTTGGAATATTTGAAAATGGGTGGGTTAATCATAATGTATTGATTGTTTTAGTTGATTGATTGTTTAGTAACGTAAAGTTTGTAAAGCTTGGGTTACCAAAGCAGCAAGATATAGAACTTAAAGGATTTTGTGTAAAACCCTCGCAGTTAGTGGGTATATTATAGTCGAAGCATGCGGGCAACTCGATCTTTTCTGGTCCTTTTCTTTTGTTTTGATTAGCAGTACATTTTTATGTCAAAATGAGGATACGTTGGTTGATTCCGTTTAAAATTCTCCTAATTAGTGGGTATTGCATAGTCGAGGCGTGCGACCAATGCGATCTTTTATGGTCTCTACATGCTCGAGTTAACGTTGAGTTAGATTTCGGAGTTTGGGTTAGCTGTAGTTAAGACTAACGTGCACCACTACCACCAACAACAACAAGTGTGGAAACAGCAACGGTCACTTCTACAGCAAAAGCAACAACCACAACAACAACGAAAGGAACAAGTAGTAACAACAACAACAACCAGAGCAAACCACTTCATCGAAAACTCGTTTTGACAACAATTATGGCCCAAGCGGAAAGGCAGAGCTCTGTGGAGTTGGAGTTTCAAATAAAGTTGGGGCCAAGCAGCACAAAGCGAAATAAAAAAAAAATGATAAAAAAAGAGCTGGGGGAAAAAGAAGAAAGATGCTGAGAAAACCGAAGTTTAAACCACCACCGAGGCTGCTGTGTTGCAGATGAAGGATTGCCTGTGGTTACTGTGTTACTGTTTGCTTTTGGCATTAAGGCAGTACAGCTTGGCCATCTTTTCGGCCATCGGCTGCTTCCTGATCGAAACCACGCGATAATAATAGTCTAAAGCCGAACGGAGCCAGCTTCCTCAGTCCACTAATACATATGTACTGGCCAGAACTTTTGGTCAGCGAAACTGTATTTTTTCATTTTTCTCAAAAGGGTAGATATCTGCAGGAATAGTATTTGAAGTAAGATGGCATCGGAAAAGCACAAAAATGCTGTTTTTTGTGCAGCATGCGTCATCTTGTATGTATCTTGGTAGGTTAAAACTTATCGGTCGATTGACAAGTTTTGAAAACGCATGTGAGCAGCATTTTGAACATGAATGAATCACTTCAAATCGAAATAATGCGCGAAACGTGCAGAATGTCGAAAATGTGCCCCGAAAAATGTGTGAACAAAAAAATGTCTCAGAAAAACGGTGTACGACGCTACACTGCACAACAAAAGCCAGCCTTTTTTTCTGCGCTGATTTTTCCCTCGACTTATTTATTTGTGCCTGGCTAATTGGAAATCAAATTTTACGCCAGCGAAAAACACAGGACCCTTTTTAACGGAGAACAAAGCGCTTGGAAAAATGATGGTGATGGTGCGTGGAAAAAAGGGTCAAATTTGTCTTTGCCAGAATTGGCATTGATTGATGATGTATTTTAAATTAAAATAAATCGTACGAAATGTTTATTTTAAAGTTAGCCCATAATCACACACAAACGTTAAAGCGTACCATAAGCTTATCAATCGAAAGGAAAAGTAAATAATAAATTAATTTTACTGTTAGAGTCAGTGTGAGTTGACAGTCAATATCTTTTTATTTTTAAGACACTAGTATCAGATTGGATTACATTTTATTTACTCGCATAAAGTAAATTATGGCCAAAAACAAAGGAACATTTTTAAGTTAGCAACACATTCAATTGGCAGTCAATTGAATAATTAATAACATTTATTAAGAATTTTAATTTGACCCAAATGCAAAAATTTACATACATAGATTGAAGTGTTTGCACTTTAAAGCTGTTGGATTTTAACAAGAATTTGACAAGAATTTTAAACAATGCTTTTATTGTAAATGCATATCATAATCGACATAAAGAAGTCGTCTTTTCCATTCTCCTGTGTATTTAAGTTATCTATTTAGGTAAACTGGTCTATTAGTTCTGAAACTAGAAAAATTGCACAGTATAAATAAATATGGAAGGGAAAAACTGCAGTTTTAAGCTCAATAAAGGCGATAACTCGGCACAAAAAAAGCAAATATGTATGTAAATATCGAGTTATCAAAGCATTTCATTCACTCTGCTGAATGTGAGACTGTTTTGTGACTAAATTACCAAAAGGGTGTTCCCCCGTGTGTACTTTTTATACATACATATGTATGTATGTGCATACGTCATTTACCATTTACCTTGGCACAATATGGTTTATTTTCGTATACTCGGCTCAACTATTGTGTGTGTGGTTTGGCTTTTGCATTATTTCGGCTTCATTATCGGACTGTTTTGTGGTGCTGAAAGTGTTTTGCTTGTTTTGCGAGTATATTGTTCTTTAGCGCCTACGCCATTTACCATTTATCATTTACCACTTACTTCTACTTCTACTTCTCAAAACTCATAAATAAGTTTTAGTTTACCCTCTGCTCGCTGTGCTGCGCGCTCCTCTTTCTGGCGTTCTTCATCATTGTTTACTCCTTTTATGCCCTCCATTCGCTCTCTGCCTTCGTGCTCTCATTCGTCTCTCTCTCTCTTTTGGCGACTTCTCGGGACTCGGCTCCTCATGATCAGTTCATACGTGGCTCGAGTTCGAAGTTTGATTCGGAGATGCCAGGTTCGATTCAGTTGCTTCGAACACGTTCGATTCTAGAGTCGTGCACTCGCAGAAGTTGTGAGGACGTTCTTTTCGTTTAAGTCTCGTAGGATTTTTGTTTGTTAAATATCAAATAAGACTATTGTCTCAGGCACTTTCAACTTGTTTTGTATACAATGAGAACATTTATGTTTTGCTCTTGCTTCGCACATGTTCGATATGGCGAACATGTGGTTTAGCAACAAACATTAGCAAACAGTGTCGATTAGTGTGGGTTACTCTAAGTGTACTCTCATACAAATCTGTTTGTTGGCAGTCAACACTTGCAAAAACCATGGGCTACAAACAAATTTTCAAAAATAAAAATGTTGATAAAAATCTTTCAGTTTAAACAACAAATATTTCCAGCTATCAATATCAAACCAAGTTGTAAAATTAATAATAATAATTTATAAATTTATGGAGTATAAATTTGTTTTCCTAAATGATTAAAGGAAAAAAAGTTTGCTGGCGAACTTTAGACTTTGCAGCCCCATAATCGCTTGTATAGACCTCGAAACCTTTTTGCTTGTACTACATCTGTAAAAAAGTGTCTTAAACTAAATTTTCCCACACCTCAGTCGTGTATTTATTATTAATTACGGACTACAGGTATCGCGAACTTCATTTACACCCACACACACACACATACGCACACGCGCCCACACATGCACACACACGCGTCATACACACACGCGAAGTCGGACACGCACACACAATATGTGCATGTGTGCGTGAATGAATATACGAAAAATCAATTAAAACTTTTAATTGAAAGAAAGATTTAAGTGAAATTAAATTTTTTCGCCCCTGTTCGTCAGCTCATTTAACTCATCTCTGCCCAGCTCTGCCAAATCTCATCATCGGCGCGTTTTGAACTCATCTCAAGAAAGTTAAAGTTTACGGAAGCGATATCAATAGGTGGGGTATACCATAGATGGGCTGTATAATAATACTTATGAGCACACGATAAAAGCGCCCATTTGCTCATTCACAAGTCACTTTTCTGTAATAACGTCGAAATCATGCGGGTGTCGTAAACTACTCAAATAATCGTTAAATACAGAAATGGATAAAATAATTGATGTACTTTCTCCTTTTGTGGCGGTAAACCTTTATATGGTTAATGTCTCTATTTCGATACGAATGTTATTAGTTAAGCAGGTTGCCGAGAAACTCACGTGTTTCAAGAACCAAACCAAATTTAAGGCATAAATTGATCAATAAGCAGTGTGCATATGCATGTCAACGCCATCGAGCGTAATCACCAACAGGTGGAATGATTTATTATTCCAGCTTAAATGCACTAAAAAGGTTCTAATGTTTCGTTTTCATGTGAATATTTTCACCATCCGTTTATTTTACCCAAAGCAACGCCTTTCGTCACTTGCTTGAAACTAATTAAATGCAAGTGCTGTGCAAAAAAAAATAGGGAGCCCAAATACCTAGTGTTCTAATTAGGGCTTTCCATTCGCAACATTACCGAAAGAAGTGCCTCCTACAACTGTGAGTGCTTTCATGAATTCACTGCGTAAAATGAGGATGTGCTAGAAGCTCCTTTTCCACCTGTTACTTGTAAACTGAATATGGTTAATTATAGTGACTGCGTGTTTAATGATATTTCTTAAGAGATCGCTCTTTCATTTATTTCCAGACTACCTTTGGTGTCATCGTTTGCTCCGTTTTCCAAACACACTGTTTAAACGCAGAAGCAGTTTAAGACTTGCAGATGATTGGAGTCAAATAATCAAAGAGGTAAATATATTCTAAATTCAAATTTAAACACCTATGGCTTTGCGATATCATATATAACAATTATGGGAAATATCTTAAGACTCGAAAACTGAACCTTGACATTAAGCATTTGCTTTATAAGGAATATAGTATTTATAGTTGCATAAACTTTCGAGGATTAGCAAACGACCACGTGTTTCCAGGTAATAAACGGCGCTAATCCAACCAGTTTATATATGTACACATACAGGTATATGTGTGTATTTGTAGGCCAGAAAACATACATACATGCATATGTGATGGGGCCTTATCAAATGCATGATACCATGATACCGGCTGCCAAGCAAGGCTTGTAATTTTTAAATTAGAATTACGTGATGTGCCTGCTAAATTGGGATTATTGAACGGTCGGAGAGCTAGGCAAGTGGCTACGAAAATGTTGTTTAGAGCCAGGTCGAGAAGTATGGGACTTACGGGCCAGAGCAACAAGCTTTCCTGCCACGGAAACACTTCGGAGGATGGAGGATGTGGATCAAGTCGTGGGAATTTTGCTTCTAAGAGCCAAAATGTTGCTAGACGTTGCCCCATGCTTTCCTGAGAATCTGAGAAACTAAAACGGAAATGAGTGCGGGGATGGGATGTTGGGTTTAGAGGTGCTTTCTCGGGCGGGTAAAGAACCCCAAAAATTAAATAGAGAAGAAAAATTACAATATATATGTCATGCTCAAAGTGGAAAGGCCATGGGTGGAAAAATAATCAACTGCGGTGAGCGGTGAACAGATGTCAAGGTGGGGCACAGATGGCAGGGCTTAAATACTCTTTACTACACTCTTACTATTCCCTCAATGAGCACTCGCACATTGGGGGACAAAAAAATGTGAAATGTGTGACCTACAAGCTGGTTTAATGCCATTCAAAAATTGTTCGAGTGAATATATAGATGCGTTCAATGTAAAAATTTGTAGATGTTCATAATTTCCCACATTTCCCATTTTTTTTAACTCTTTTATTTATTTTTTTTATTCTGAAGCGTAGAGTTTAAAACTAAGTGAGAAATTTGATAACCGAGAAAGTGAAAGCAGCAGGAAGACATTCTCCACGCACATTGAAAGTACATTTCACGATTGAATTGTATGGACTTTATGGGGTTGCAAACGAAACACTCGTCTTCCCACATATTGTGTACAGAATGCAGCACATTGCGCCCTCGATATGAGGGAAACAGACCGAAATGCGTCGTCAAGATGTCTCAGTGAGTGTTAGGGTGAGTGGCCGTTGGGGGTGGCTGACTGCACATTCCACTATGGTTGTACACAAATATATGTACACATATTGTGTATATAATATATATGGTATATTGTATACATGCTGGGAAAAAAAAAACAAGAAAGCAAGGAAAATATGATGCGCAGGAGGTGGTTGCCTTCGCCCAGTTCATAATGCAAACCGCGCCAGGCGATTGGAAATTAATGAAATTTTATATAAAAGTCCAAACCAAATTGAAGTATGAATGAGCGGAATGAATGTGTAAATGAACGTCTGCCAGCCGCCCCCAAAGCACCCACTTCCCACCCAACACCCAATCTATATGCTATATATGTGGGCCATTACAAAAAGGAGCCATAGCCAGATGAAAGCGGAACTCCATTATCCCAGGAGCTGGGGAGCTGTGAAGCTGGGTAGCTGGATAGCTGGGTAACCGGAGAGTTGGGGAAATTGTTGCCGGGGCTAATGCGAAATTTGTATGCAGTCCAAACAACGGCAGTCATTTCTTTTGTTTTGCTCCGCTCCACTACGCTCTGCCTCTTGTTTTTTGTATTTCGTATTTCGTATTTTGTATTTTATTTAGCTTTCTTCGCTTTTTTGCTTTTCCAGTTTTGAATTTGGTTTGCTTCTTGTAGGCCTGCTATGGATTTCGTTTCTGTTTGGGCACTTGGCGCTGAGAAAAATAACAATCAAATGTAATGTTTGCCTTGCCGTAGAGAAGGGGCCCAGGATATTATGTAGAAATACCCTCGTATTGGCACTGACCATCGACTCATGGAATCCCAACAAAGAAGTTAATACTTTCAGTGCGTAAATTTCATTAACGTTTTATTGACACAATCCAGACAAAACATAATTAGCTGTACGCGAACACGTGAAAAAAATACGAAATGCCAATGTTGTCAGCGGGAGCAATTAAACCAGAAGCAATTGGATTTTATACACTGACTTTTGGGAGCACGAAACTTTTTAACAGCTCATTAAGAAGTTGCTGCTTTTTCAGCCGTTTAAGCCAAGGTATTGAGTGTATGTTTTGCATATGAACCACCCAGAATCATCGGTTTAGCCTGCTCAGCGATCAAGGAAAATGTTTGCTCCGGGCACGACTCGGGGTATTAAATTCGTTTAAGTCTATTATTAAAAATAACCGTTCGTATCCCACATATGTTAGAAGTTGTTTATTGGTTTTTCATTTTTTTTCCGTTTTTTTTTTGTCGCTGGTGGCGGAAGACTAAACACAACAACTGGGGTGGTGGCGAAACAGAAATATTTGAGTTTTATGCGCACAAAATTATAATAGGCATATGCCGTGCTACGTGGCTCCAAAATCCCTTGCTAACCCAACTCCATCCGCACAATCTCTTCGCTGTTTTCCTCTTATTTTTTGCATCCTTGTTTGGGGCAAATGTACGTTTTTAACGATGGGCGTTTGCCCCTCTAAAAGTGCCATTTTGTAGGGGCCACCGCTGCAGGTTGAATAGTTGGGGAATCCAAAGATAAATCTCATTATTATGGCTTCCGTTTATTTTCGAACACAAAACACATACACAAACTTCAACTTGCCACAGACAGCAAGACAACTTCAGCATCCACATCAGCATCAGCATCAGCATCAGCCTCAGCCTCTTTCCTCTTCGCCACAACCAAGTGCCATCGACTTCCACCGGTTTGGATACCCATCTCCGGAGACAAGTTGCTAGATTCCGGTGCGAAGCCCAAGGACTCACTTGCTCACAAAGGGGGACACGAAAAGAAGACTGCCGTCGAGTGTCACAAACTGGAGTTACCCTTCAATCGTACACGCTTTTCAGTTGCTCACTCAAATGACCAGTTGATTTGGTGGTATTTAAGTTCTATCAAATATTTGCCAGTTGAAAACACCGCCAAAAAGCATCATTTTGCAATGTTAATCCATATTATTTTGCCTATGAAATATTATAATTTAATCAGCTTTGGCAGATTTGTGCTTTTGACGCCACTTGTGCAATAATAACAATGCATCTAGATACTTTTTAATAACGGAAACCAAATGTGGTTACATTTAAATTGTATTTGTACAATTTGTAAGTGCATTAATTCTGTCGCTTTTAAACGGATTTGTTAAAAAAATGCCATTATTATAACACATACTATATACGCAGCAGCGCATTAGTTTGCTTTTTGCAAATAAGAAATTAGTCAATTAACAAGTTACCGTGACTTCCTAATTGGAAATCTAATAATAGCGTATTTATGTAGCAATATTCGCCTATCGAAACATTTCCATCAGCAAACACGGATTGCCATTAACAGTTGGTTTTGCCTAACGAGTAAAATTAATAAATGTGAAAAGGAAAAATGATATACATTTCTAAAGGCTGCCTAAGGGCCAAGTACTCGATTTATTTGCGTTGCAAATACTGAGATAACTCTGAACAACTTTTTGCTTACCTTTTCTTTTGTATCTAAAAGATTAATTTCGATATTTGCAGTGGGATTTTGCCCACTATGCATAGTTGAATCAAGTTCACTAGCAAAGCTGATTAAATTATATATGTGTTTTCCATATTTCTTTTTTTGGCGCGAATCTGCCATACATGCGCACTTGCTTACATTCATTTTATTAGCCCAGGTAAATGCAAATCTTTCCGGCCAAATTCCACTGACCACAAAACAGTATTACGGATTACCAACCATATCACCACCATATCAGAGTGCGTTCGATGACCTTTTAGTCGGATTGCCGAGGATGGAGTTTGGGTTACCGCAAAAAATGTGACGCCAGCAAGGAAAACTCCGGGTGCGCTGGCAAATTTCCATGAATTTGGCATTCTATCATCACTTTATCGGTGCGCTACGGTTCGTTTCGGTTCGGCAGGGAATGAGATTACTCGAGCAGCTTCTAGGTTCTGGGTCAGATAGATCCGCTGAGTGGTATGGCATGCTATGCCACCAGCACCACTTGCTTCAAATCACAAAGACGCTTGTGACATTCGCTTTCGCATTCGCATTTCCAGTTACTATTTCCTGTCAATTTTTCTTAGGCACTCGCTCCTTCGAAATATTGTGACAGTTTGCAATAAACGCACGGAACGGGAATCTCTGCCTGGTTGACTGCCTGTTTGCCTGCCTGGCACCCAAAAAGCAATCTCCTTCAGCAGCAGCACCACTATCACCACCTGCCCACTTGCTCATCCGCCCGCCCCTTTTATTTTATGACCATAAAAGGAAAGCCAATGCACCAAACTGGCGCTCCGATAAATTTATACAGCACATTTCATGCGATCAACACATAAATATTATTATACTTTATGCGAAAAAACCACGAATCTCTCTCGCTCTATATATATATATATATATAAACCAGCAGATAATGGGTGAATGTATGGGGAATATATAAATACCGATGGCGAATTTCTGGTCAAATCAAACAGTTTATTTAAGGTGCCGAGTAGAGCCTTTGGTCATAAAAATTCCCTGGCTACGAGTACAAAAAGCGATTTTACCAAGTGTGTTTGTTTGTCAGCACAGAGCCATCACTCTGCTTTTTTTTCTCATTTTTTCTTTTTTTTTTTTTACCAGTCGCTTTGCTTTGTGTCTAATAGTTATAACATTTTTCGCAGCTTGATGCTTATCTTAAGTCGCCTTGGGCCATAATCAACGCTGACATGTCGACTGGATGGGATGTGATGGGATGGGATTGTATGGTATGGGTTGTTATGGTATGGTATGGGTTGGCATGGCTTGTATGACGGGTGACTGGATGGCTGGATTGCTGGATGGCTGGATGACTGGGTGACTGGATGCCTTGGGTGTTGTGGGCTTTTGAGGGGCGCCGAGCACCGAGTGGCGAGTGGCATATTGAAGGGCTTTTGGAATTGGGACCACAAAGCTCCAAATGCGTATTGCATACATAAATTTGAGTCGAGTACTACGTACATTTTGCTCACGTTTGCTGCACAAAATAAATCTTTGACAGACAACCAGGCGGTTGGAGGAGGATGTTGGATGTTGGATGTTGGATAGAGAATGGAGGATGGAGGAGCTACGAGCCTTTGTAAAACTTGCTGTAGGAACCGAACCCAGTCTTTGAGATCTAACGGTAAACAAAATCTGTACAGCATTCCCCAATTCTGCAGGAGGTCATCATCAAGAGATTAAAGCCATGAATGATATAAAGAGTTTTGCTGCTCCGAACAATGTGCTTTTCGACGCGTTTTGCATACAGCTTCAGTTTGCTTGACGGTAAACTAGAAATTTTCATATGTGAGTTGCCAGTTTGAAAGCTATTTTTGAACTAAACTTTTAGTTTTAATTGGATTGATATTGGACATCAGAATGCTATGGACTCTGACGGCCTGTTTCGAATGGCGCAAGTTTAGACACCCTCGACTGATTTGGAACAACTTTTTACTACGTTCAATTTCTAGAATTTAATTTAGATTCTTTATTATTTTATGAACATGAACTCTGCAAAAAAATAAGCATTACGAAAAACATTTTCGCAAGTATTAATTTGATGGAATGCCAGAATCGAATCGAAATGTTCTTTGTGGCTTCCCACATTGGTAAATTCATGTGTTCCTCGATTGATTGTTATCATTTATTATTGTCCCATTTCCACATAATGTCTTATTAATAGTCGAGCGTCACAAATGGCAAACCAACTTGTCGTGAAGATCACGAAAGTGAAGACGAAATGAAAGTAGAGCCAAATCGATATGTTATAATTAATGTGTTAATAAAAGCGTTATGCATTCGTCGCTGGCTTCTGGAAATTAGGCTTTTGGCCAAAATCGACGGAGGGCGGAGGAAAGCGATTAAGATAAGTATTTTGACGCTACTGCAAAAACATCGCAATGCGCCTCAAATGAGCCGAGCAATGTGTCGCGACCTGCTTTCCGAATCGATAGGCGCAAAAAAGCCAAAAGGCTGGAAATCAGGAAGGCAGGAAAAATGCCATAAAATGTAGCTGAGCCAGAAGAAATACGATAGCACATATAAATTTATTTAAATGAGCGCTACGTGTAATGACTGACTGGCAGGCGGATTGGTGGATTGGAGGATTGGAGGATTGGAGGATTGGCGGAGTGGAGTATTGGTGGGTTGATAGGTCGAGGGGTGGCCTCCTCGTTGCCTGGTAGCTAATTTACCAATCGATGTCATTGATACTAGCGCCAGGAATTCAGACGGAAACTGCTCCAAGAGCCCGAAAGCCTTGTACTACCTACCATCGGATTGCTTTAATTAAATTTCGCATTGATATTTGCTTGCCTGTTTGATTGCGGGACGGATTGCTCATACTGGACAGACTGAACGGACTGAGCGAACTGCGACGGACTTCTTGCCTTTGTTGTTTCCGGTGCATCTCGGCTTTCGACCGCGGTCCGTGGAGCACGACGGCGTGCCAGGCGGCCATGGATGCCATGGATGCCTTGGAGCAGGAGGAGGAGAAGAAGGAGGCGGTGGTGATGGTGATGGCGATGGTGTTGAAGGCACCGGGAAATGGCTCGCTGCACGTGCTTAAAATTGCACCAGAGGAGAATTCTTAATTCTACACGAATAAAAGCAAACAGCACGACATCGTATCGATATTTAATATACGCAGGTCAAATGGGTATTTGAGTGGGTAATATCAAAACGAAAGCATTTTGCTCGTCTCTGGAATATATTGTTGGTTTCGTTGGATAGAAACTGAATTATTTTGAAACTTGATAAGAAATTCAGTTGGTATGAACATCAGAAACTGTTGAATTCCAAGTATGTCCATGCTCAAATCCCATTTTTCATTGAAAGGTGCTTTAAATTGTGGAGTTTCAAACCTAATATTATAATATGTGTATATAATTGCATTGCTATTATGCTATTATCACGCTGTACTTGTTTCCCACGATGCCTTATAATGAAATTATTCATAAAATGAATTTATAAATTGGACAAAAATTAAAATGGCCCACTCTTTTTCTCCCAGTGCAGCTGGCTGGCTCCACACGTGGCCGCGTGTGTGCAGTCTAGGGTAGAGCGTACATGCTTCCACTTACCGGCGTGCTTAATTCTTCGCAGTTATTCAAGTGTACAGGGAACGGGTTTGGGTTTATTCGTTTCCCCGATTCATTCATTCATTCGCGCACTCATTCATTCGCGCCTCACATTCTTCCTTCTTCGCCGGTGACGTCGCGACGGTGACGTAATTAATGATGCTAGCCGCAAATTATTTAAATTGAATTGCACTAGCAGCAGCAGACAATGCGATGCATCCCTTTATCCCTTGGTATCTCCTTTCAATTTGTTCGGCGATCAAAGGTCTTACAGTCACACTTCCCTCCCAACTGGGTGATGAATTGACTACCACTGACTTCCACTGCTCACCATGGAGCTGAAATCTATATTTTTTACACAACTCCATTCTTGACAGCGTTGATTTCAGGCACTAAATATTCAAGCCTGCCATTCTGGTAATAAATAAAGAAAGGGTTTCGTGCAAACTTAGTATTCTTGGACGTCAGTCACGATTTTACCATCACGTTTATGTGTAGCCTGTCGAAATATTTATGCAAATATTTATTTTTTCGACCTTTAATTGCTTCGATTCACGAGAAGTGCGCATTTCGATTTAAGATCAATTGTGCTACTTTTTATAAAGTAATTCAAGCCATAATTTCAAACTTAAAACACCACATTAATGTGATTATGCCAGTAACCATATTTAGAATATTTAATTGCTAGTATGTTTCGTTCGCTAATTAATTATTTGAATTTCGATTATAAAAGCCCTATTTCTATCTCTTTCCAGGTGAGACTGACACATTACATGAAGCCTTTGTACTCTTCCGCATTCCGGAAAACAAGAAGTACATAGGTACGTAAAAAAGAGTGGCGACTATAAATAGGCAATGGTACTTGATATAATTATCCCTCGAAAGGCATCGCACTTAATACCCAATCCGAATATAAACAGCACAGTGGACCATTGATATCCCCACCCAGTTTCTGGTCACATACTCCCTTGTGTTTTCCGTTCTGTTTGCTTACGATTGGAGCCCAATTAAAATTCCTAAATGCTTTCGCTCGGCATCTTGTACACAACATCTCTGGCGATCTGAGGGCTCACAGCTCACAGCTCACAGTTCACAGAATGGGAATAATTTATGCATTTCAAGTATATGGTATGTGTGTACATGTATACACTTTCCCTGCGCTGGCTTTATTATCGCTCTGATTGTTATTTTTCGTTGGCTCCGCAACGCGCCACTCACAAAAAAAAAAAAGAAAAAAGGAAAGAAATGAGAAAATTGTACTTTTGCTTGGCATTCTGACTCAACGTTGCATTGTTTACGGCGTGTTCCGCTTCTTGGTGGCACCACTCGACTCCACTCCACTCCACTGCACTCCACTTGATGGTGGGTCAAATGAAGTGAACGGGTGCCGCTGCGCCTAAGGAATCGCTGGCGGGGATTGGGGGAATCGCCGGGGAATAGGCGGCTCTGGCACAATTGTGCTCATAATTGTTTATCTAAATTGACTGCAGACCTCACTTTAAGATGTACGAGTTTATGAATGTTTGTAGGTACAGTGTGCATGCAACGCGATACATGTAAATACACACACACACCCATATTGACTTGGATCGCAGCAAGAGTACGGAACGGCACACATATCGATGCCCCACTGTGACCTATAGGAGTCATCGCCCTGGGGAGTGTAAACAATGGAATTTAAAAGGTTGCATTCAGGAAACTTTCCATTAATTGTGCTTAATTTTGAATAATGGATGGCAATGTGTAAAGTATAGTTCAATTATTTCAATAACGATTAACTTGCTACATAATGTATGGCAATTCGATTTAACAAAAGCGACACCAATGCATTCAAATGCATTATTTCTGTGCCATTGAAAGAAATCGAAATAAAAGAAACTGAAAGCGCCACTTTTGCCCAACAAAACATTGTTCATTTGCAATGCATATTTTTAGCATGTTAGTTTATACATACATATTTCGTGATAAGAGTGATATAATTTATTCAATATCTGCCTGGAGGCGCTGGGAACAATGCTCATTTTAATTAATTACGTATTTAAGGGAAACTCTTTCTAAAAATGGCCAAAAGTAAATAGCCTGCATTTTGACTGCTGTTCTGCTCTTTTGTTTGAACTTCCGACATCTCAGCTTTTCTTCGCCAGAGGCGGGGGGCAGGGGAAATGGGGCAAAAACTGGGGTTTTTGGGGGTTAAGCACTTGCATGTGAGCTGGCCAGTGGTCGAAAATACTTCAAGAGCTTTATAAATGAAATCAAAACCAATAGAAATATGAATGCGATTAAATACTTGCTGTTGTAAACTAATGGGATAAGAATTAACCCTTTTGGAATTATGCTTCTACTTCGTATCTAACTGGACAAGAAAACAGTTTGATAGTATTTGAAAATTGTTTAATTTCCTTGGGATTACGAATTACACGAAATATATGTACGTGAATATGCTTCTTGTATCTGGAAAAGTTCTTTGCTCTTTGGCATGGAATCTCTATGATGCAGTTGTGGGGTACCTTTGGCTCGTGGATATACAATTTCCTTTGCCCAAACTTGCCTGCGTCGCATAAATTGGATGGCTGTGGGTGGTGGGTGGTGTGGTAGGTAGCTTTACTTTGAATCCACGTATTTAAGAATTCGTGAAATTAATAGCTTCATGAGCACTCGGATAAATCGAGAGAAGTGCACTAATATCAGGGAGGGCTCTACTCACACTACTAAGGGGTAGTGCGGGTGCTGTGCACTTTCCACATTTCTTCCTTTGGCTCTGGCCAATGTATTTTCATTTTCATTTTCATTTGCATTTGGCTCTCTTGTTTTTAGCTTTCTGCCCCCCTTTTGCTTTTTGTGTTCTGCCCTGCTCTGTTCTGCTCGAACTGCTCGACTGCTGTTGTTGTTGTCATCCGTCGCTCGTTTGGTGCGAGTGAAATGCAAAGCAAACAACAATTTGTAATTTCCGTTGTTTCCAAGCCAGCTACCACCCAACCACCCATCCACCCATCCACCTATCCACCTATCCAGTCATCCAACTATCCAACTATCCCAAAGCTCGACCAGATGAGGCTGGTGTTCTGGGGGCATCCACTGGGTGGATAAAGGGTGGAACCAGGGTCAGATGACGAGGGCCTGCTGGCCAGAATGGGCGTGTTTGTGGGTGGGTGTTGGTGCTGGCGTTGGAAACTATTCTACGCTCTTTTAGGTGCAATTTTCTGCTTAAACTGGATGAGAAAAAAAGGAAATCTGTGCTCTGCTGTTCTCGGTGCTGTGATGGCAGCGCAAGCAACTTTGGGCTGGCAAATCTTGCCATTTCAACCCATAGCCAGAGCCAGAGCCAGAGCCATCGCCATCGCCATCGCCATTGCTATCCCCATCACCATTGCCTTGGTCGTAACACGTCCGAGAGGCATATCGGTTCAAGTTTAGGCCAAAGTTATTTGCAATGCATTTTCGGTGATTGGAGAAGCATTGCGCTCAACTCGACTGCAACCCAAAAAATGCCAAACGACTATGGCAAATTTGACCCGAAACCAGAAACTCGAAACTCGAAACTGGAAAACCGCAACCTCTGTTTGCATGCCATTTTTGTGCAAGAAAATTTGTCTTTCTACCACAAAAATAACATTCTTCACCTTGAGGTAGGTGAGCAATTCATAATTACATAATTACTTCCCCTTGCCTGCGATTCATTTTGCTGAAATGTACGTTTATTAAGTCGAAGACATGGCACAATTTCAAATGAAGGGCTCTGATGGAAGCAGAAATGGCAGAATTTGACCCAGAAATGCAATTGAAAATACCAACGAAAATGAGAATGTAAATATTGAAGCCCAGGATGCATCGGAATAACAATTAGCACAAGGATCCAGCCACTTAAGTCAAATTAGTAAGACAAACAAACCCAGATGCCGGAATACTTGCGTACCTTTTGACTTCCAGAATGGACATTAATGTCCGATCAAACAGGATGCGTTGGCAACGGCAGATAAATTAATAAAAAATCACTTGGAAAAGGGGCGGGCGGAGTGGCCGAGTTTGTTTGCCAATGCTTTTAGGCCATGTATTTGCAGTTTGATTACGGCACAAAGGGCGCTTTGAACTGCAGTCGTGTATTTGCATGTGCTCAATCAAACATGAAGGTATTTTTTCCGTTGAATTGATGTGTGTAATGATTGCACTTTCTTATCGGGTCTGTGATGAGCAACAGTATTGTAGGAGAATAAATATTTAGCCACGTTGTATTGACGCAAGAGACTAGAATTTGTTGTAGCAATAATTATAGGGAGTGATGTTGATACTTTGAATCAAATGAAGTTGAGGAAAGTGTAAAAATCTTGCGATTCTTTTACTTTTTGAAAGCATACTTAGCTGGAGAGCTGGCTCCGTATAAAATTGATTGTTTGTAATGAAAACCAGCTCTGTTCATAGTTAGATTAGTTTGTTTGGAAATCGTTAAGTGACAACTTGTGCGCCTTTCCATACAATTCTTATAATATTTCTTTACTTGTACGTGAACCTTTTTGAACTGGTATCAAGGTATATAGGGCGTATATCTGTAACTTTGCGTACATACTCGTGTTTGTGGTAATGTTTAAGCTTGTGTGCTGCGGACGTGTGGCGAATGCATCTGTGTGTGTGTGTGTGCGACGCAGGGAACAACTGAGCCGGCACTAAAAGCCAAACAAAACATGAAAACTGTTCAAAGATACCGACTATTTGTAGTTGCATTTGTATCGGAATCTATATTGGGAGCTTCAGATATGTGCAGTTGGTATACAACTACGTCCACACACCCCTTCGCCAAAGCAAAGCCACGCAACTTCAACATCCACATCCATATCCACATCCATATCCCGCTCCAGTACTCCACCCAACCATCCAACTGCTCCATTCTGCTCACTTGGCCGTCGTTGTCGTTATCGCTGTCTGAGCACAGTGAGCACACAATGTAAAACGCAAATATTAACACGGCTAACCGATATGCCGTATATACAGATATACAGATATAGATACAGATACAGACCCAAAGGCGAAAATGGAGGTAAAAGTACTGAAGAGGTGAGTTGGCAAAGCCGGGGGCACGCACCACACGCACATACATATAATCGGATGCGCCACGGGACAAAGATTATCGGTATAACCGTTCTCCTATCCAGTATTATAGAACCGAATACTATGCCATACTGCGTTCTGGAATGCGGATTAAAAGGTTGCAAGTTATATAGATGGGGAAACCCTTGTACAGAAACCCAAAACCTAGGGCTACGTTGGGTTCTAGGTATAACACTTCTATTGACATGTGTAGAATACATGGATCAGAATATATCGAGAATATATCTCAAGAAATTGTGCTAGCTTATGGGATACCTGATTGATAGGTATCACCTTTTGATAGTAAATCGAGATTTTTTCTTTCCTGACTGGCAAATGCTCGTCAGCCTTGAGCGCGAGTCCAATCACATTACATTGCATTACAATTTCATTTCGATTCCGCAGAAGGGCGGGCAAGTTTTGTGCAAGTGTAGTCTGAAATGCTGTCGTTGCCCGGGAACGGCTAGTTGCATGTTTGATAGCCACACAATTTGATTTAGTGCTACTCGAGCGGACACAGTGGGCCAGCCTTCTTCCATTTCTCCGGCCTCATCTGCTCCACGTGCCCCGTCTGCCCCATCTGCTCCATCTGCCCCTTTCCAGGAGGAGCTGGTCCAATGTTCGAGTTGAGCAATGAGAGGAAGAGCCTGCAGCAGACATGTGCATAAATAATTATTAAAGGCAAAATGCTGGCACGAGAATGCGAAATGAAACCGCAAAAAAATACGCAGAGCAAGCTGAA